CAAATTTCGTGTCATTCGGTCGAATAAGAAAAAAGTTGTGAACGAAAAAGCGTCAAAGCATTTCACCGAAGACTTTTGAGCGCTACTGTATATAAGTTAAGCTGGAGATGACTGTTCTCTCTCACAAGGTTGGCGATTCACGGACAAAGCTTCAGTCTCGGGCGGGACTCGTGTTGACCCGGTCGGCCTACATCGGCACAGTTTAGCTGTAAGCTTTACTAGTTGACTTGATGTTTTATTAACTGCTGTTATATCGCCGCAGTAAGCGTTTACGAAAGTCTCACAATGTTGGCGATTCATGGACAAAGCTTCAGTCTCGGACGTGTCTCGATCCCGTACTTGTCCTTTCCGGGGACTGTTCTCTCTGCTAGATTTCCTTTTGAATGCGCTCCCACATTCAACTTCTATTCAGAATCATAGGAGCGCTTTGAATGCGTACGTGGCCTATACATGATTCATAGTGGTCAACAGATGCATAAATCACTGTCTTTTCATTATATCATTATATTTAAAAAGATGGGGAACAAGAACCGCTCACGACAACATCTCCCAAAATACATAATGCAAGCTAATCACCGAAATTAGGAATTCCATCAAGAAGACGGTTTTCAAGAACGCGCTAACCATCTACAATTCACGAACCGGTCTTAAATGAACCGCTTAGCACTTGACTAGGTCCACTGGTATATCAATTTTTTATTTCTCGCAAAATCAACAAAATTGTTTCAGTACATTCGCGACAGATGCCCTTTACAATTGTACTACCTCAGCAAGGCAATATTTTCAACTGCCAGACAATCTGAAGTTCACCCACCGACCCCGTACGATCGGCACTTGAATAGTTGTTAGCTGTATGTACTTTCCAAGGCATGTGCTGATGACGGTTCTCTTGTCACTTTTTCATTTGGGCAACTCAATCAAAGAGCGCAAGAGAAGAGCAAGAGGAAGATTGGACTGGGAGCTTTAGTTCCAGCCTTCAAATAGGATCTATTCAAAAACGTTTTTCACCAAAGCCCATCGTCCCAACAGAGACTTGTCCGTCAGTTCAACCCGATGGCTGGCTCTTTGAATGAAGTTGAGTGAGCGAAAAGAGGTATTATTTACATGCGTTCTCATTCATTGATATGTCTACACAGCAGGCACCGTACTTTGAGTTGCTGTTGAGGAAGTTGTAAAATATCCAGTTTGATGACGATTCCTTCTCCTTATGTGCCAGCTCACACTCATAGCAAAAGTTGGGATGCATACATATCTAAACATGGGTATGGTAGTAAGCGTCTGGGAGAATAAAAGCACTGTTGTGTATATCAGCTGGCCGCCACAGGTCATTGTGCTGGTCAGGCACTCCCTAAGCCACACCGATTCTGAATGAAACTCGAGTACTGGATCACATCTTTCAGACGGGTCGATTAACTTTAAGAGGCTTTATCCGTTATACCAAATGCAGCATCATGGCACTACCTACCTACTGCTGCATCCTGCTACATTCCTTCGCGCGCGATGTCCCTCTCACCGCGACGCGACCATTTCGTTCCTAACGCACCACACCCCAGGACCATCACTATGACACTGTCAAACACTTGGCCAGTCATGAAGTATACGGAGTGACAAGTATAGTATCTGCTTATTGCACTTAAAAGCAAAGTTCATGATAAAAATGGCTGAGATATCCCCTAGGATGATTTTTGGGTTTCAGTAAGGATTTTCAAATGAATGCACCAAGAGAATTTCTACGGTACCTTTCGAATTTACTCATGTAAGCCAGATAATAGAGAAATTTCGGGTGAAGCATTGATTATAGACGTACTTTGAACATTAACTGTATCTACGAAAACTATACACACATAATGGCTAAATGACTGATCAAAGACTGCAGCTTTATAGAGACCTTCGGAGACTTTTGGGCAAAAGTAAAATACTGAGGGAAATGAGAGATAAAGCAATGCCGCTGCTGTCTCAAGTTTCCTCTTCCTCTCGGCCCTTTTGCTTGAGATTGAACATACGATCGTTTGGTTTTTGAACCTTTCTATCTGGTGGCTCAAGAAACATTTGAAAACGTCTAGGAAAATTCAGGTTAAGAAGGGAGAGGATGAACAGTAGACTGGTATTTATCAGATGTTGCTTCCTGGCTTATCTGTGAGTCCACTGGTTTTCAGCATTTTTCTCTGGGTCACTGAAAATATCCAAGATCATGGAGGGCGTTGCACAAGCAAGGGAATCGAAGATAAGGTAGACCCAACAAGTTATGCAATAGTGTGATGAACGTGGAACTGAGTGATTACTGGCTGAATCCTTCGGGACGTCAAACGAACACCGGAGTGGACGCAAGAGCGATAATCAGTCTCCTTCACGGAAGCTATAAACGGAAGGAATACTATGACTCAGGTCCCTTGAACGAAGATGATCCTCTGGGCTATTCTATATCGTGATAGCTCGAGAAAGGGACGAATGAAGACGTTACACTGGCTTGAGATTATCGATGATCAACAGGACGACAGGTGATACAGGTGATTTTAGTTTGAAATAATAATAAGTAAGACCATTCAACCGTTAGACGATATATGGCCTCTGGCATTACCATCCAAAGATGATGTAAATGGGAAAAGAGGCGTAACTTCGATATGAGAAAAAGCCGAATTTGAATTAGCAACTGGGAACAACTTGAATGAGCGGGCTTCTACTAGCGATCGATACTCAACAGCAATGAAAAGATCCCCAATAGCTACTGTTTTATGATGAATGAACCAGGGTTTCCTCCGACGCTGTCTGCCTTGACGGATCCGACTGTACCACACCCGTAGTAGACAGCTGCGGCTGGGCGTTTTTGCAGGCCCTAGATGCCAGAATCACAATGAATGCAAAACAATTTCTGATGCCATCATTTCTCTTAAAATGAACAATTGAAAAATGTTTTTTTTTGTAAAACTTCAATTTGATTTCCACATTCGCATCCAACATCATCTATTCAATATCTCGTCCTTCTGCCTTCATTGCCACTCTCGCTCCGCTGTCTGGTCTCATCTCATTTTTTTCTGGAAGGGGTTCAGCTATTAGCTTCTATTGTTCCTCTCTTCAGTATGGTTGGTGCACACTGTGAACCCTTTCAAATACAAGAGATTGGCGATACCTATTGAAAAGAATGTTGGGGCTCAGTTACTGAGGGGACGGGACTTTTATGTGGATTCCAATAGTGCCGTGTACTGATAAGAGAACTCATATGATTACGGTATTCCCATCTCTTCCCGGAGAATACTGTAATCATCGTCTCTGTAATTCTCTGAAGATCTGCTATCATGAAATATCAGAAAATGCAGTTCTCTGCAGTCCGAAGATTGCTTTCTCCAGGATTTGTGAAATAATAAGGGGCATGACCCACTGCATGAGATGCCTACTACCCATGGAACCCTTGCACGACTGAAAGTAGAAATTTTGTTTGTCGAACACCGGACATCATCTACGATTTTAATAAGCCACACCCACTCTCGACTATGAAGAGGCTGAGGTAATTCGATACATCTAGGTGGCCCTCCTTTTCTTGCTTGGTTTTCGATTCCATGAACTTGAAAGTTTCCATAATTACATGCCTCACCAATCATCCCCGTCGGAAGTTTCCACGACGAAACAGCTACCAGTACTATGACAAAGTGTTACCATCGAGCTTACAGCGGCTTTCAGCCGCATTCTACTGCTGTCATATTGATTAGTTCATCTAAGGAACTTCGGGGATCGACAGCACGGATTGCCAATTGGCACACCGATTTCTTACCAAAAACTGAAAGAGCAACTGGGCTAAAAACGCTCCAAACTCGTGGGCGATCTTGAACGGAAGCTGGGTATGTGGCTCATCTCAAGAATCGATCAACATCCTTACTTTTACCTCCTTCGATTTTTTTTATACACTTAGCTACATATCGCCTGTGTCACTGTACTGCACTAGATCTGATATTTATTAATGCACAGAAGGCGATGTTACAATCGTTGATTGCAAGGCTATAATCACATAATATAAATAGACGATAAAAACTAGCAGATTAAAAGGGTAGGTGCGGCGTTTCGCGCCAAATCAAAAAAAGGAGAAAGCGTATTGGTAATTTATAAGTTAATAATAGACAGCATAGTTTTCAGATTCAAAACACCGCGCCCGACCAATTTTCTCTACAAAAAAAATTTGCATTGGGACCATTACTGAATCGACCCATCATTTAATTTTACAAGACCAGTTGAAGGAACAATGATCACGATATGTCAATGGGGGAGAGCGCATTTTTGCTGCTCAAAACTGCAAGTATGGGGGTTGGTTTGTGATACAAGTGACAACGGCAAGCCATGAGCAAACTAATCTCTACACTTAAATCCTATATAAAAGACCGGCGTACAAAGCAGCAGGGCATTCAAGAATACAATCCTTTACAAAAGCGTACAAAAAACGCGTACGAGACACAAACAGAATGCTGCGGACGCGCTTCCACTCGTAACGGTCCAACTACTACAAAGATGATTTGCGAGAATGAAACAAAATTACATGTGACTGATTTAAGTGTAATGAAAGGACAAATGGTGGAACAGAAAGAGAAAAGACAGATAGCGAACATAGAACTCTCTTAGAGTAATCTGCTGCGATGAATTAAAGACGCGTAAAGACCCGAAACTACCGTAACTCGAACCACATAACATGGTGTATGCAAGCAAAGGAAATAATGGCTAGAAGAACACAAAATCACGATGACAATCAATGATCCACACGTTATAAAGACCTAATAGAACGGGAACAAAATTTGAGAAGCTAGTAGGGTGCGCGTGGATGTTACTGGAAAGCTGAGCGCAGAGCGAAATGGCGAAAGAGCAGGGAATACGATGGGAGATGGGAAAAAAGAAGAAGAAAACGCGTACCCGTCGAGTGAATGAACACATCCTATTGGCAACGGACGTTGATGTTTAAAACTCCTCAGCTTATGCATTGAAATGTCACGAAATGGAACGAGAACTACAGATCACCCGATTTAGCTGTGCGGAGGCGGCGCCGAATAGTTGTCCCTTTGACGGTTTGGACCGTCGAAGGTGATATTTGTTTGCGACGGACCGTCACCAGTTGTTGTTGAAGAGCCGGAAGCCGGAGTCGAAGACGACGACGAGCCATGAATTGCCAGCAGCTGCGCTGCCAATGTAGAGGAATCCAACCGGCGAGGTGAAGGCCTCTGCAAAAAAAAAAAATAGTCGAAGGCAAGAAGATAGGTCACTCTTAAATCGCAGTTTCGAAATTGTTCGATGTTCTGCGGTAAGGTGAGTTTGATTTGATGCCACTGCTGCGAACGCATGGCTTGCAGAAAGAACTTTTTCAAGAACACATCAGGAAAATGTAACAATAATAAGTAAAATAACAAACTGTCCAGCGAACGAAGTGCAAATAATGAGCTAATTTCTGAAAGGCATCGTATCGACGCTATTTTGTGGTAAAACTGGCCTCGGCGCTGTTGGACATGATTGGTGGTGGACTGGCTGGCAACGACAACGCAGAAGCCTGGGGACGATAATGATGATGATGAGTGCTCTGGAGGCTTTGTGACATTGGATCGCCACACGGTCCCTCTGGTGCTGCGGTCGCAGCCCTGATCATACGCAATTGACGTTGTCGAGCACGGAGCTCTTCCAGTTCGAGTCGCTGCTGCTCACGAAGATGAAGTTGCTGCATGCGATGTCTGAATAGGACAGGAAGTTATTAAACACTATTTAGAGAAAGTACAACCTAACGCGGTGTTTTACCTCCGAATTAATGCCAATACCTCCGGATCATCATCGTCTTCATCTTCTGCCTAAACAAATAAACCACACTCTGGCACTGACTCAGAAACAGGAAGGAAAAGAACGGCCCCATTCATTGTTCTATATGTGTTACAACCGCTAGAAGAGTGCACACCTTTTACCAGTTCAGAAAGGGTTAGTTAAGAAAGACCCGACCGTTCTGTTCTTTCATGCTGCCGGAAAGAAGACATGAGTACTTACAGTAACTACTAACAAATACTAATTATATAGCAACATAGGGAAATACAGAGCTTGAAACAGAGAGAAACAAGGACTTCTAGACTAGCTTGACTAAGATCGAAACAGAACTTTACCGAAGGAACCCTTTAACAACCCTCGGAAGAAGCCCGTCTATTCAATTTTTTACGAAGGAATGTTTAATAAAGAAATCTAATACAATCAAACGTATAAATATTACAAATAAGATATTTATAAGGTAAATAAGGACCTGGCAGTCGAAATCTGAATCTGAAGTCGGCAATGGACTGAAGATGGGTGGTGTACCGACATGAAACATAGCACCACTACCGCACAAGCTCGATGCATCGTCGCGATGCGTCGAAGCGTCGTCTCGGCAGACGCTTGGCCGCATGCTCGATGTCCCGAGAGTGCACGACAGTGCGCTCTCCAGATTCTTGAACGCAGCCAGACTGTCCATGGCACGTAGGCGCTGCGTCAGATCTGGTGCTGTGCTTGAGGGCAACAATTGGGTTGTTGTACCATTTGATTCCATAACCAGCCCTCCTATCCTTCGTTCCGGAGACGGCGACTCATCTTCTGATGTGGCAGCAACAGAGGCAGACGGCAGAGAGCACGTTGTGGTCAGCTAAGAGAACAAAACACTATCTAACTAACCCGAAGCACAACATATAAGCAATGAGTTTGTGTTAGTGAAAGACAGAGCACACGAGCTTGATAAAACCGAAACAAAGGTTAAGAGAAGCGGTTAGCAACAAACACCGACATTGGAATTATCAAAAACGAGGGAAAATGTACATGGCTGCCTAAGCCATAAACCCCTAATGAGGGAACATAACGAAACGTCACCTACATGGTAAAGCTCCTGGGTTGAACTGGTGAAGTGATGCGGTGGCGGTGTTACGCGTCCATGCTCAGTGACGGACAATGGTGTTGGCTCCCTTTGCTCAGGATTGATCACCTAGTGATGGAAAAAGAACATTAAGTACAAATCTAAATACAACAACTTTGACGGCTCTCTTAGGCTTCGCATAGACGCAGGTGGAAATTGGTGTGGTACAGAAAGTTCTCAATTTACTACTATTCAGGAGACCAAGAAAATACAAGTCATCTGTGAGGGATGTGCAGATCAAAGTTGTCCCAGGAAAAAGAATAGTTGGGAAGAGAAACCTAAAAACAAGCCTCAAAAAATCTTTTGCCTGAATTCGCGAAGTTCATCACACTCAAGGAGCGGTCTACATTGTTTTTTTTTTTNTTTTGCCACTATCGCGATGTACACCTATGAAACGCATGTGTCCCAATGAAATCCAATAATAAAGAAAACTGAAGAATTAGAAGGGACCAGGTCATCAAACTAACCTGATTAATTAAGATTCCGTATAATGTTAGCAATACTCTCTGGAAACTTGAAAGGAAAACTCACTTTTTGAAGAGCTTGGGCGAGGCCATTGAGCGTATCGACGTGTAGTTCATCCGTTGCACTAGCACTAGCTGCTTGACCAGGCCCATGCTCATCTTCTTCCTAAAATGATGAAACTATTCCATATTTCATGCAAGTGGGGCTCTGATAATGAGAACTTGAGCAAATATTAACAGGAATCCCTATTAATGTACTGCGCATTATCGAAAACCAAATTGTTAAGGAAGCGCTCGATGCAATAATGGAAAAAAATGTTTGAAGGTTGCTAAAGAATTGCTGAATTGACGAATTGCTAAAGATGATAGAAATGGGAAGCTTCCGAACATCCAACAACAACATAACTAATTCATCAAAAATCACCTTCGGGTGACTCGGCGGTTGGTTTACTGAGAGCTGATGTGATGTGGTTTGGGGTTGCTGCCCTTGATGCGGAACTGGTGGCTCATCTCGTTGCTGCTGTTGGATTTGACTGAGCACAGCGAGTTTCTCACTCAGACCTAGAGATACACAACATAGCATTTTTGAAACTGATCTGAAACTTTCATTCAGCTCACACCAGGAAAAATCTTCATACCTGTTAAGTTCGTGCCTAAATCTACACCATGAGCGGGAGTATGGGGAAGGCTGGTGGTGGGATGTAGTGCAGGATGTGCGTTGTGCACCTGTAATCGGAGCATGAACTCGTTGAATGGTGGCTTGTGGGATTGAGAGATGATTGAAAAAGTGAGTCATTCAGCTTATTATAGTATTCCATGAAAAGAGGGGCGTCACATATTCGCGCAAGGAAACCGGTTAGTGACGTCACCAGAACAACGTGGATCAGAGCTTTCTAAGCACCTAGTCGCATTGAAGCATCTCGTCGACATTTTCAATCGAAATTACCAATCTCTGACACATTATGGAAGCGTTCCTACAAGTCAGCAAACTTACATTACTCTCAAGAGGGGCCTACGAGTTAAGCATGAGTGAAATATCATATTTGCAATGTGTATCCTGTTCGTAAATGAAACGTGATGCGCTTCCCAATCACATGAAGATTAAATTTCTCGCGCTTAATCAAGTTTTCACAATGAATCATCATTTCTCTCACGAAAAGAAAGAGAATGACAGCTGAGTTGATTTTTTTCGTATTTCTTCATGAGCACTGGTGCGATTCCGTGAAAGAAAATAATAATGTAAAAAGCTAGATAAATAAAGCGCGAGAAAAACACACTTCAAAAATTTCTGCACACAACGGAAAGGAACTAGCGATGGAAATTCAGTAACTTCAGATTGCTCATTAGTATGGTGTACGAAAAAATAAAAAACAAAAACCGTACCGGCTGCGCAAGTGCAGTAGTCGACTGCGTCATAGCTTCAGGAATTGGCCCATGAACTGATGTACATCCAGCAGACACCGTCGATACCCCGCTGACCTGGAAAATGATCTTTTTTAATCCTACACAAAAATTGGGTTCCGAATCCTGAAAATACACGAAGACAGCTTTCCTATACCTTTCTCAGCTCAGAATCCAGCTTTTGCAAAGCGGACAGATCAACCTGTGGCACATGAGGCGGATGTGAGAGCGAAGCAGTACTTCCAGTATGACATAAAGTAACGCTTTGTGCAGGTACAACGGTCGTAGTTACTGTTTCAGATGGCACATGCACAGAGGAAGTCGTGGATACGATTGGTGCTGTTGGTAAAGAAACGATAGCGGGAGATACCATCGGGACAGGCATCTGAAACAAAACATAAACAAGAGTTGATATATACCCATCATCAATTATCAGGAAAGCGGCCGCGAAGAGTTGCAAAAGAAACTGAAAGAACTGCTCACTGTCATGGTAGTAGCAATACTAGTAGTAATAGGAGGTTGAACTGCGAGTGGTGTCGATGCTGAACTCATACTTGACATGCTTGCTTCAGTATGCGTGGATGTTGAAGAAGAGAAACCTGACTCAACGGAGGATGTCGGGGCAAGTGTTGCTTGTACCGGTACGCTTTGCACCTGAGAGAATCCAGTAAAAACATTGAAGTTAATGGCAGACCTGTGAAATGCACCTTAAATCTGCTTCCAGTGCTTGTGGTACTTGTCACAGAAGATGTATTCGAGTGAGCCGTGGTACTTGGTGACGATCCGTTCGACAACATCGCAGGAGCAGGTGGACTGAGCTGTTGTGCTTGAGCTTGAGGCACAGGAGGGAGTGTGGTGGTTTCGACTGCCGCAGTAGGATGCGAACCAGGTGACACAGCATTGACCGTTGATGGGGTAACCTGAGCTTATCAGTTCACAACTGCAAAGTGAGTTTACATAAAAGCTTACCTGGAAACGTGAAGGTTTCGCCGCCTGAGCAGGCGCAGCTGTGGTGGTACTCGCAGCTGATGTTGTGCTTATCACATGGACGGATGAAGATTGCGGAACATTGGCTGGTTGTACAGGCGTTGTCGAACTATCACCATCGACACTACGGCTCATCCCCGAACCAGACTGTAGAGCCGCCTAAACTTTATCACTTCCGAATCACGTGACTACGCTTTCCTTCTAATAAGCAACAGAAAAGGCTAACAGACTACGCACTGGTACAAAAACGGATCCTGGTAGTTAGGTGCATCAGGGACTAAGTCCAATTAAACAACATTCTCCGGTACCAACCCAAGGTGCGTGAAACTAGGTGGAAATTCTTCCCACGTCTACCTTGTTAGAGCAGGTCCGATACGGTGTAGAACTTAACGGTTCATGAACAAGTCGTTCGAAAGGTTCCTGAACCGGGCTTATTGTGCTCCACTTAAACCTTCGCTCGTTAAAAATCTGCGAGATAAACACCAAAACTTGATGAGTACAAGACGTAGGCATTGCCACTGACATTGCTAGGCAAGTTGTCCTCTACTAGGAATTCCTTGCACGACGTCGACTGAGCTTACTGCACACAACTAATTGCCCCAAAATTTTGCAACCACCAACATTAATGAACCCTGGATGCGAAATCCCGCGACTGTTACACCAGCACTCTGTCACAGTTTAGCCATCTGGATTAAACATTACAACTGGAAAACCCCAACAAAATTGTCACAAGTTGGTGAAATAGAAGCACAAACGGGCAAGTATTTAACACTGTGACGGCAGAACATGTAATTATAGAAGTCCCCACACTACACGCGATGCTCAGACCTTCATGTGAGTGAGAAGGGCAAAGACGCCTTGACCTGATTTGAATTGCAATCACCTGTCCATAAGCCGCTCAAAAATCCACCAATATCAACAGTAACAACCCAAGAGTGTGAAAAGCATAGTGAGCTATATTACACCTGAGCACTAATATTGTTTCCTTTCAAGGAAAATGCTACCGCTTCCGCGCGCTACCTACGCTATCATCCCAACGCATCTTTTTACCGGAAAATTATAATGAAAACAACTAGTGGGTTACTTGGGTAGGTGAAAACTGTTCAGTGCTTAATTTCCAAAAAAGAATTACGATTTTTAATGAAGACAAAACTACTAATTATATTGACCATAATTCATACACGAACCTTGGGAGGCTCAATCCTGGACGGTGGCGGCGAGGTAGACACAGACGTTTTCGTCGCACTCGGTGGAGGAGGTGCTTGTGACGCTGATGCAGGAGCTGCTGTTGCAGCAGGTTGGGGAGGAGCAGTAACTTTTTCGGAAACAGTCTGGCATGTCGCATTGACCTGGACCGAGGCTGGAGCTGGTGACACGCCGGGCTGAACATTCAACATTGAAAGTGTGCTAATATGGGAGAAAAAAGACCCTCATTGACATACTCTAGCAGTCGATGGGCCTGATGCGATGTTCTGCGTACTAGTTGTTGTTGTGGTTTGGGTTTCAACGACAGTGGTAAGCTTAGTGCCCACGACGCGACTAACACCTTTGTTCACCAGCTGAAATCCTAACTAGTACAGAATATTGGAACTTGTTATAACAAAGTGTTCGATACTGACCGCAATTATTTGTTCGAGCTGGTCCTCTACAATAGCAACATGGTGTTGGGCGAGACAGTTCTCCGCTAGCTGAAATAAGAAGAGATGGACATTCAACTGAGAATGAAAGAAAAATCATAAGAAATTGGCTCAAGAGCATCAGCTGGAAGTGCGGAGGAGAAGACCTAAAGTGTAACTTCCAATTGCTAATGTCCAAGAACGGTAAAAGCATTGGAACATTGCGATGAAAAACGAGTGGATACTACCGAGGTAGACCTACCACATAAAGAGAAGAGTTGTGGGTAAACCCTTATTGTTTGAAAAATAACTCACCAGTTTCTCAGCAATCACAGAAGGCTTATCGGAATCCGGGGCGAATTGGAAAGTCACGGTTTTATGTGCAGTGTCAAGTTTGCAAGAAACCAACTGTAACAAAGCACTTTTCGTTCCTTAGAGCATTTGAGAATTGAATTGAGAACCAAATGAAACTCACTGGCTGATCCTTAGCATCATCCACCTTCAAGACCTCTAGAACGATCTTTCTCTTTGCTTTCTTTTTCTCTTCATGAGCCGAAATGGTCTGCGCATCAGGAAATTCGTCCGGAGATGGCTAAAAAGAGCTTTCACATCGCTACCAAAAAAAGAAGATAACACGAGGGCTCACCACAGATGTTGCATACTGGGGAGCAGTTTTGTCCGCAGATATTGCAGATGCTACAGCTGAAGTAGTTTGATGCACAGAAGGCAATGTAGACGAAGTCATAGGCGGCGACACCACAGGTTGTTGAGCGTTTGGGGGCTGGGACGGTTCAGCCGCGACTGCAGCTGCTCCCGAAGCTGATTCTCTCTGTAGAAGCGTTGTTCTAGCATGATAAAAAAAATGATTCCGCAAATATGAAATCAGTTAACTGGATCTCTTCATGTAGCCTCGTGATTAAAGGAAAAATATGTTACTGGACAGAAAATCGAACATTATGCGGGAACATACATGTTCTGCTTCGAGACGTTCTTTCTCTTTTGCCCGAGCTTTCATCTCTTCTTTGATTGCCTGCTCTTCTCGCTGACGTTCTTCTTCTTCACGCTGCCTCTTCAACTCAGCGATTTTAAACTCCCTGTCCCTCTTGAAGCTTTCCACCTGGAAGAGGGCAACATATGTATGACGCGATATGAAGCTGAAAAACTCTTCGCACCTTGTCTTTGATCAACTTTGTAATCATCTTGGTATCCTCGTCAGGAATATGCTGCTGTTCAATCATCTGTTGCACAACCTGAATTAGAACAAAAAGTCAGAAATTGAGCTATTAACTTTGTAAGTCGGGTATTTTAATGTCGGCCTGGAGGTCTTTTGGCCGAAGCAGTTGCACTTCCACAGATTAATGATTGGGTAAAAGAGCTAATAGAACAAAGGGAAAGTTAAAACAGAAGGAGGTTGATTGATGACCTGGTATGAACATATCGTAATGTTATGATCACGATAACAACCTGTAGGAAAAGAGCTCGATGCTCGTGGGATCCTTTAACTGCAAAACAAGGTCAAAGAAGGTTAAGAGAAATTGAAGCCGAAACGATTCTTTTAGAGAATTCATAGACTTTGGACCACTCGTGTTCGCGCATCGATTTTACCCCATATGAAGCAACTCATTCCCCATCAACAGTGTTATTTATGTAAGGGAGACGAAATTTACTATAATTTTTACAATTTACCTCTTCAGCCGTGTCGTTTTCAATATCAAACGCAAACTGCAACCCTTCATTTTCTTTAAACCGATATTGTTTCCGCTTCTTTTCATCGTAGACTCGCAACTGCATCTGAATCTGAAATAAAAAAGAGTCATTAAATGGCCGCTAGAATATATGTTCCGACATATGAAATGCTCTATAGCGCAATGAATGTACCTCTACGTTCAATTCAGCAAGATCTAAGTCCCGATTCTTAATCTCAACTCTGATTCCAATTAGTTCTTCCGGCGTAAAGAAGTCATCAGCAAGCAACTGCTTCACAGTACTTCTTTCTTCCCGTCGTACTCTGAATATTCGAAACAGTAAGCTATTTAAGAGACCATCGATAACACTAAGAGTTGAATAAGAAGAGCCAAGGCTCAAGTCGTCAACTTTTCCTTTCATCCTTCCCATTCACCTTTCTCACAGAAAGAATAATGTGAGACCAACTAGAGTGAGTTAAGATGAATCTTACCTGATACATCGGTCAATTATTTCACGGATCTCTGGATACTGCTGAGGAATCCTATTGAAACACTCTGGCTTCACACCCTAAATAGCGGACAGTTTTATAAAGGCAACAGTTAGTTTACGTACAAACTGCTTACCGTAGTGACTTTTCGGTATATTTGAGCCGGAAACTGACACTCTGTGTATGGATACTCTCCAGTGACCATTTCTAATAGGCACATACCGAAAGCATACACGTCTACTGATTCATCATACATCTCCTCGTACATTTCGGGCGCCATGAATTCAGGCGTTCCTAAGTTAGCAGTCAATAATTTTGCAACAGTGAACAGTTTTCCTTCACTGCAATTTCTTTTTGAAGGAGGCATTCCACTGTTGTGCACAAGGCCTGAACACATCGCACCGTGATGTTTCTACGGTCTGACCACTGGCTAAGACTAACTATCCCAACTGTCATTTCAAAACAGCCAAAAGGATTCCTGGAATGAAACTTGGAGAACTTTTTCGAAAATGATATGATCATCTTACTCTTGTTTCAGTGAAGTAGGCCAGGAAGTTGAGCAAAAAAAAGAAGACTGAAAAATGGAAAAAATGGAAGAACGAAGAGAACAACTTTCTTTTAGGACAACCGCTGTTAAGCGTCTTTCTGATGAAAACCAGTATTTGGAAAACAACATGTGTCCTAGAATGTCACGCGGCACAGCGAAAAACAAGTTCAAAATCAAATTAATAAACCATCAAAAGGAATGAGAGGAAGTTCTGGTTTAGGCAAATTTGCCCAATGTCACAATCCTTGAAATTACAAATTAGTAGAGCTCAATATTCCAAACTCTCTGTTATCTAAATGTTCAGAGCACGTTAGAAAGTTTGTCAGTAACTGGCAGCTAAAGATTAGCGAATCGGGTTCTGCACACTCACGAGCTTCAGGCTCGAAACATCCCTCCAATGACAATATTTTCTTGAAATTCAAGTTGTAAACAGTAAATTTCCCATTTAATCGCTTATAACATTTTTACTAATCAGTTTTTGCTAAGAAACTTTTTTCAGAGCACGTTTTTTTTNNTTTTTTTTTGAATTTATTGTAAATTTGTGCTTATTTCGAGTATTCGCGAAGAACTGTAACTTTACGGAGAAAGAACCCGACAAAGCCTGCCGTATGACCACGATCTATGGTAATCTCAGCTACCTATAAAAAAAAAGGAAGTTTCATGGTTGGCTTTACTTGGTTTTTCGTTATCCAAGGCTCCGTGCTCCCTCTTCGAGAGTCTCGCGACCCGTTTAATCGATACAGTAGAATTCAGTGAGTCATGCGCGACACGAGCAAGATTTATGATATTACGACTGCTTGTGCAACTTTGTCCGTTCGCCAGTCGCCAAGTTGCTAATATAACTATTGCTGAGTGCATGGTTGAACACAAACTCGTTTTCTACAAAATGATTGCCCAAACAAATTGATATGGGTGAAACTAGCTCGATAGCACAGTCTGAGATCAAGCCATATGGAGCAGGGAGAAGCTGCATTCAGCTAAACATTGAGCATGCAGTCATCCAGCAACGGAAGTAAAAGATCGAGGTCGGGCAAACATGTTGTAGTAATTTGAAAGGGTTTAGCAAAGCTTGGCACGACTCAACGAATTTTGTCATATCAACAAACCACTGATCTCTGCATCATAAACCGTCGTCCATGTCAGTCAATAGAATGTCTGAATGCAGCCCTGTTCTTTTTCTCGTACCAAACGACGACGAAAACGGGCGAAGCACACGACAGTAGATGAGAAGGATGCTTTTCAAGGCGTAAAAAAACCTCCGAAATTAGCGAGGTCTAGGACATATGATTTCAGACTATGAAATGCACTTATCCTCAGCCTTTCCGATGCTACCATGGTAAGGTGAAAATAAGAGCGAGGTACAGGATGTTAAACAGAGAAGGAAACAAGGCAACCTCTTCAGAGACATGCCAAGACTTTGAAATTGACCTGAGTTGTTCAGTAAAAGTATTGCTGAGCCTGCGTGCACCTAATAGCCTACGCTCGATTGACCTAATGACTTCTACATGAACATGGGAAACCTGCTCATCTGGCCAAGTCAGCCTACGATTTCTGTTCCTTTTTCAAGTCTCTCACATTCCGATGGAATGTATAGACCCCTTCCCGAACTGATATGTAACATTCCGTATTGAGCAAAATTTGTTTCATTACGAAGGCACATCTGATGAACACATATACTACGTTTCCCAATTCCACTAATGTTATAAAATATGTTCCTCACTAGCCATTTTTCAATCCCCTCAACATCGATGTGTCTATGATCGCGCCCTCGTCACGAGTACCGCCACTGCACACACGTGATCGCCGTCGCGCTGCATATGATTGTTCCAGAGTGGTTTATCGCCCTTGTGTATACAAACTGAAAATCACGCTTACCCCAGCCCCATGATATAAAATCACGCTTACTTCCACCCCATGATATCATGAAATTCCTCAGTCACATGAAAAACGAAGATTGCAGTGCTCTGCTAGAATCTATAGCAGCAGTTTCTATAATTAGTCCAGTTTCCGAAAAAGTTACTTCAAGATCTGTTATCGAAAACTTGATTACAACAATTTGAAATTCGGTGGCCATCAGGTCTTCATGAAATGAGATACTCTAACCGCAAAAAAACTACTTAATATTTCACATAAAGAACCTAAAAGGAGCCATTCGCATATCGAACCTCTTCCAATCCGTAATTACAAAGCAGAAAGGATCTTTAGACACAGCAATACTTTTGCCGCGGAGGTTTGCACAGCTAACATGCATTTTTCTCGTCAAAGCATCGTCTCCACTCAAAGCCAGCACAAAGTAAGCCGCCAGTTGCTCCACAGACACGCTGTGCACTGANATTAAATGCTGCCTACTGGGCATAATCAGGAAAACGATAAGCGGTACGTGCTGGAAACCCACAAGAAGGAACTTCGAACATGATTCTGTAAACCGATTTTTTTGCGCCCGTACAAGGGACAAGTAAATATTATAGCAAGTACAATACTTCGAGAAACTGAACATCTTCATAGATTTGATTGAGTTATTGGAACTCTTTGAAATTCTAGGCACATTTTCAAACTAGCTGTAATGTTTGCTTTTCCAAAAACCAAAGATAAACTTCGGGTAACGAAAGATGAGGAGGTACAAGTACCGCCTCAGATATATCCATCAAATTTTGTCTAGACTACTGACAATATAAGAAAGCAGTAAAAGCAAAATGAGCACAAAGAACGGTCCAACGATCTTAAAGACAATCGTTGAAACTCTCAATGCTTTACTCGGTACTCGAATGGCTACCGACCCTGTGTATCCCTAAAGGCAACATTCAAGTAGTTCAAATTCTTATGTTCTTGTACTTCACGGTAACCTCATTGGAGAAGTACGACAAAGCTAAGCAGTTATTTTCCTCCCTGTGTTGGGGCAACGTTCAGCCAACATTTCTCTGAATCAAAGAGAAAAATTCAACCCATCGCAACCAACAGCAGCTGAGGAGCGAGCCCACGTATTGGGCGACAATCCAACAAATTTTAAAGCGAAACTAGTGTTAATGAGCGGAAAAGTTGGAAAAGTTTCTTGGTTTCAACTAGTGACTTCTGTCACTGATTTTGTATTGCATTGTTGAAAAGCAAACAAAAAACAACGTAGTGAGGGTACTGGGAAAGCGCAAAAAAACGTGTGGAGCAACGGGTTCAAGGCAGGACTAGTAGGACACTGAAAAAAGCACCATTCAGCATCCTGGCTGAAAAATCTCTCAAGGCTGTGAATCTCCTTCCCCAACTTGCAATCATATCGTCTTCGAATATCCCTCTGCGATGAATCGCCAACTAAATGGTAAGATAAAGAAGTCACGGCGGCTAGTTCAAAAACGTATCGATTCATACGGAGACAAGTGCAACCCAAACGGTCTCACATTACACAGCACAACATGTACAACGTGGCCGGATTTCACCAACATGACAACGGAGAAGTTCTGTATGTTTTGTGCCTTCATCCACCTAACCTCAAATCATCAAGAGGTTTCTGCTATCAAGCAATAATGGTTGAGTAAAAGAAAATGTGATGCGAAGCTCCCACAGGTATGCGAATCGTGAGCATTGGAACCGTTAGATCCGTGCAGCAGAAGAATCTCGCGTTGACGAAATAGAAGACAATCACAATGAAGCCCATACCATGGAGTTTCTAACTGCACCTACCTTTTGCTTTCACCCTATCTTCTATCACGTTCAAAATCATACGAATTAACGATAAGAATCGAAAAAGCACTTTTGTCAGACTTGATCAAAACTATAAAGCAATTTAAAAGTTGGATCACAATTATTCATACGAGGAATTGTCCAGAGCGAAAAATGACCCATCATTTTGTTATATAAACCCAACCAAAATGAAAAACGAGCACTCTCATACATCGTCTAACCAAACCCGACAGCAGGCTTCGCACAATGATCTGCATCCAGAGAGACCAGTTTACTGCTCCAGGCTTCACAATGATCAATCAAGTATAGAAGTGGTGCGGGTGCTCAAGATAAAAAACCGAAAACTATAGAACACCGAACTCACCTATGACACTTTTTGCATAAGACTTGTTTTTGAGCGTAGCTAGTCCCAAATCGCCTATTTTGACGCTGCCCGTGGTTCCAGTGATAAAGATGTTGTCACATTTCAGATCTCTATGAATGACTGGTGGATTTCGAGAATGCAAAAACGAAAGGCCCTTTAGGATTTGCCGGCACCATGATTTCAACACCTATAAAGCAAGTCAAAGATAAATAGAGAACTAGGGAGAAACAAGTACAAAAACTGCACCTTGATATTAATCCTTTTAAAACGTTTCAAATACATTTTCAATGTTCCGGAAGTCATCAATTCCGTAACTAATACAATGTACCTAAAACTCACACTCAAATATTGATACACCACAAAGAACAACAGGTACGCACTTTCTCTTCCCTGACGGATCAGTACGCTCCCAATAGTCATAAAATCGCACAATATTGGGATGCTGGAGATCCTTCAACATCTCAGCCTCTTCACGAAAACGTTGCCGTTCTGCCTGAAAATACATATATAGATTAGAGCTGTCTTCGAAGTCAACAAATGAAAAATTACCCTATTAAGTTTGCTCTCTTGCAATTCGCACCATGCCACTGCAACGCCAGTCTCCGTGTCAAGCCCGCGATACACTGTTTTGAATGAGCCACGACCAAGTTCCTCATCGAATTTAAGAAAACGCCCATCTAGACCATGAATTGAAAAGATTAGGTGCGAGATACAAAAAAATCACAAAAAATACTCACTGGGGCTTTTATCAATAGGCTTTTCTTGTGCGTCAAAGTCATCATCAACCTCTAGCTGCTCCTTTGCACGCACCTCTTCATCCCTTCTCTCCTTCTCCTTTTCATCTGCTATTGTCGGCACTGCCGCTACCTTGACTTCAGAAGATACTTGTTCATTGGCCGAAGGCGCAACATCTCCAGCGTTTGGTGACGCAACTGGTTTCGCTGCATTTCTGAACGACACAAAAAATTAATCGATATTCACAATTTAGAGTCCATAAAGAAAAGTTTAACATAAAAACGGGATTTGATAAAAAAATTGCTCGTAGTGATCTGGAAAGGTTTGCTCTGTGAATCGACAGAACATGTGCAAGTCTCAATGGAACTTTTCACTGAAACGGATTCACGAGTGGCTTATATACGAAAAAAAGAATGAGATTTCTCTGTACCTGAAACTCCAATTTAAAAAATACACGAAACAATAACTTGTCAGCAAGCAAGGCCGTCCCACCTGAATCGGAATGCGTTCTTGCGGTTTAATTTCCGCAGAGCGCTTCTTCCTCTACGAAAGATCTTTAAGTAGAGGTCAGTGAGCAGCATGCCGCCAAAATCTAGTGAATACATAAATGCCAGCTAGCTAATGAGCTGGACAACGTGAATTAGTTGAATTCCTTGTTAATAATTTACAAATAGCGTAAAAAACGCATAGCCTGCCCGTCAAGCAGGCGAATATAATGGTATGCAATACAGTAACATGCCCGCTACCTGGCGCCATGATATTTTGTTGGACCTTAGTGTATGAATAATGCACCGACATCGAGTGTTGGTAGTGCCGCGCACGGCAAGATCCAACTGGGAAACAAAACCGAAAGATGAAGAAAGTATCACTGGTAAAACTGATAAGTTTGATGATTAAAATGAGTCGCGACTTGAAACTATTAATGGGCTTTTGGAACTCTCTTATCTTGAGAAACACATCAGTGGAATTAAAAATAGCAGCCGTTGCATCTTTCAACAAAACTCACTACGTGGTACAATGATAAAAGCAGGGAGAATGGTAGAAAATAGATACCTGTGCCTAGTCTGAATATCTAGGAGTCTGACAGTATCTAGGAGAGAATAAGGGAAGCAAAAAGTGTATGGCTGTGCATCAAATTCTTTCAAAACTTTGTACCCTCACGTCACTTTCTACACGTGCGCTTCATGAGTCTAGTTATTGGTATAGAAAATAAGCCGCATTAACTCGACTCGGCATGCACAACATACACGTCGCGTCTGTCATTCGCTTCCCCCCAAAACGACGCTGCAGCTACCCAAATAGAAAACTATGTGTTTGAAACGAACAAAATTTCATTTCAGAAGAAAGCATCCAACACAAGGGCCTTTATGTTCATACGCTACATACAAGAACTCCTCACCTGGTACGATCGAAAATACTCGTTTGGGTGGCAACTGGAACAATTGCGTTATTGAGAGCGGCCACTAAGGCGCCACCTTCCTTTGCAGAAGGTGGAGCAGCGGCACTGACATCTTGTGCTGTGTGTTCACGATGCCGAGCACGAATCCACGGCTAGAAATGAGAACCCATGATTAGCTCGCTACACTCGCTTGATAAAGAAAGGTAGTGAAGGTAAATTCGCAGAAGCTACCACCATTCAATAAGAATTTTAGGCAATCTGCACCACGAAACAGTACTTTTCGCCGCTACGGCGAAACCCAGCTTTAGGTGATTGAGGATTACCTCAGAGTTTCCATAAAAATAAAGGTATACTACTTGAAAGACATCTAGATTTCACTAACAGTACAAAAAAATCAGTAATGCCTTTGAAGGTACACCCACTCGATTCGTGGCATTTGCATTGTATGGACGGCTTAAGCGCCAGTCGCGCTGCACGGCCTCGAGCCGAGATCGCTCTTCACCTGATAGCCAGTTCGTGCCGATTCTGAAATATTTCACTGTAAAGAAATCGTTTATAATAAAAAAAAGTATTCACCAAAGATATGTTGTACAAGCTAAGCTCTTTTCTCGACTCTCTCAAGAGCAACAGCAATGATTATCACTGTTGAACGAATTGTCATGTGGTCCTCCTTTTGTTTACGTATCAGTATAGACGATTACGTTTTTGTCAACTCTTTGGATGGAGAACAAGGCCTCTACAGTACACGTCTCATCGATAATTCAACACCCAAACGATGACGGATGCTACACTTTGCGAACGAAACAAGTGTTACGAAAGAGTAGTTCGTGTAGAGGAAAATGGAGACATTCAAAGATCTGGGCCTATGATATCGCGTGTAGAGACCATCACGATTTTATACCCTTAATGATGAAGGAATTTGTGAGTAAACAACAACAAAGTGGAAGTTTCTTTACAGACAAATGAGTCACCAAATCATTGTGACGACATGTGACTCGTACTCTATTCAAAAATGCCAATAAAAGATGATAAAATTCCCGGCACGCCACATGTACAAGAAGAACCAACGCTGGCCCCAGTTAACCCTTAGTTGCACTACTGTCGAGGATAAAAGTCAAACAAAGAGACAATTTAACATTAGATCGTTACATTCTCACTGAGAATCACTCACCTGCACCTTCCCAAACACATGAGTCTAGTATGTGGCAGTCATGGCAGATCTATCGATATGATATCACTAGCTACAGAAATAGAAAAGGCGTATCGCAAATGAACTTTGTGGTACATTGAAACACAACTAAATTTGGGGCTAATCAATAACAGGAATCGTTCAGTGACGGAATGTATAGCGTACGGCAGTCACGCGGTACAGCAGTGGGAAACAAATCATATTCCACTGGAAACCAATCTCCCTTAAAATCGAGGAGACAATGATTATAAATTTACTGTAACCTTCCGTATTCGTCAACTCTTTAAAGAACTGAGAAACCAAAAATGTGCACCCACAAATTCTAGACTTCTAACAGGAGAACACCCTAAACTTGATGACGATTCCCTTGAATTCACTTATTTTTCAAAAAGCAATTGATGGAATGCGCGCTATTCGTAGCTACCCAATGTTCCTGACCACCAAGATGGCTTTTCTACAAAAAAATTGGAAATCGAGAGAGAATGAAGAGCATAGGTTGTTATGGTTGTCGTGGCTGGCCAAAAGAAACGGAAACTGATAGTTTGCTACTCTGAATCGACGCATAGTGTTGAACGTCTGATAAGCGGTGTTGATAGCACGCAGTCAACCCAGGAGGGGCTACCACGTCTGCACTTCTGAGCAGAGAGCACGTGACTTATATTACAAAAAAGGGGCTGATAAAACATTACAAAAAACATTATTGCTACTACTTAGATGAAATCAAAAAACAGTTGGGTCACAAAACTCACCGTGCCCGGAACTCAACTGGCATGACTGAATATAGCAACAGAAGAGGGTATCAACTGCTTTTTACAACGATGTGGACGAAAACAACACCAGAACAGCAGAACTGTCCAAGTTCATTATTACAGTAGGAATAATGCAAATATCATGAGTCTCAGAATATGTTGGGAGACGTTGTTGAATGGCTTCAAACACGCAGTTTGAAACGCCCGGTTATGGGACTATGAAGGTGTAGGAAAATATTCGCTAAGCCTAGCGAAACACGAGAAGAGACTGTCCCCAGCGATACTGTGTGACTTCATCCGCTATTCGCAATTCAAATCTGGTATTATGAGTGTATGGGCACGCGGTATCGAACAGCGCTCTCTTCAAAATACCCATTCAATAAAGATCGTCATGATTTTCCTATTACGAAACAATTTGTCATTTCATTGCGATATGGGGTGGGGTGCACTGTCCTGTCGTGGGTACACATACAGGCACAGCATCTCGGTGGATTATGCGATTCTTCCGGATTTCTCCTTATCCAAACTAAGACTGTTACAACGTAATAACTTATGCGTAATAATAATTTCGGTTGCTACCACAACGGCAGCTGCCCTTAGAAACCCAAGAGGGTAAAAGTGGTTTCTTGACCGTTCGAGGCTTTATTAAGTGTCAAAATTTCCACCTACATTGGTGCCGCTCATTCGATCAATTGCCGTTAAATTTACTGAACGTTACTGTTCAGGGAAGCACCGAATATGAACAAGGAACGGCGGGGAATTGAAAAACCCATCATATATGAAGCAGTTTTTTATTAACTCCAATAGTAATTCCAAGAAACCAATTCCGGCGAAGATCGCAAATACATCGATGACATAATCTTCCTCATGACTCGTATTGTTTATCATCTTGATATTGGACTTTATGTCTAGCAAGTACGAAGCAATTATAAAAACCATCAAAAGCAAAGCGGTCCGTTAATATAACTTCACTTCCCTTCAAAAACTCCATGAAGACTGACCCACTTCCACGAATCAGTTGCTCTGTTAAAAATCTCCACTACACCCCCCCCCCCCCTCCTCACTATTCTCCCTCAAAAATTTCATATCTGTAGGTAGACTGACTCACTTTTCCGAATTGTCTGCGCTGTTGAAAAGCTTACACGAAAAAGGAGCAGAAAAGTAGTAATTGTTCCAGACTTGGTTCTCGTGCTGGCCCTGGGTTCACTTCGATCAATCCTTACAAAAAAAAAACTCGAGATGTTCCTTATTTCACAAGATATGCTCTTTATCCTGTATCCCTTCCAGGTTCCTAACAATCATATTTCGGAGACTAGCTTGAAACAAAAATACCATTTAAGACAAAAGTATGAATGGTGTGTCATCGCCGATTTGGTCAAACTTCATGGGTGATAAGAAGTAGTTCCTTCTGTAATTTTGAAATATCCCAAGAGTTCGACGAAATTGACACATTGACACAAAGGACAAAGAGTGATGGCTTTGAAACAGAACCACACATGCAGCAAATTTTCACGTGACCCGCTGCGTCACAGGCAAAAACCATTGAAACCAAGAAAGCAAATTATTCACCAAAATCGAAAGCTTTTCACTACAGTAAGTAGTTCAAAAGGGTAGGCGTATCGAAGAATTTGAAGGATATGTCAGTCAGTTCGACCATATCACTTTGTTTGTATAACATACTGTAGTCTTTAGAGCTTTCATTCATTAAGCGCGATGAATCTAGCAACTAGCTTTATTTAGTGGTAAAGCTATAGAGTGATATTGATTCCTAATTCACAGGAAAAGGTACGGTTAGGTTAGGTACCAGTTATTATCAGAAAACGTCATAGGGAAAGTACTAGAAAGAGTTCAAGTTGGATCGATTAGGTTGAAAATCAAATCGAGAGCACGTACGCATGATGATCACCGCACACAAAAGTGGATGGGTTATTGGGAAACCGAAAAAAAATCGCTACCGTTTAAAAGGAAGACTGCTGAAGGTCCTGATGGACTTTCGACGACATTCCTATCAAGGTCACCACGTACCCATCCCAAAAATCGGACTGCTCTAACGTTTTGTACTTTTAGACCTGGGCAAGCACGAGAGAGTAACTTTTGTTCAATGGAGCGCATTCTGGAAGATAAAGACTGGCTGATTTGTACAATCAACAACAAATTACGAGCCGTAGCCTCATAAACTTTCTGTGAACTCTCAGGAAAGTGCATCAGCGAAATACCTGCTCACTAAAAGTGCCATAAAGGGCAAAGGACCTATCTGGTAATGCCAGATAGTTCCTTTACATGTCACAGGTTACATGAAATACAGTCCTTCCGAATCATACAGGAAGTCTTATACGGAAACGATCAACTGTTCTGTTACAGAAACTGTATGTTCAAAACCTTTCGAGTTTGCTTCGCCAGTAATGCTCTTCTGTGAAACTAAAGGTTGGGTACTTACCCAGTTGTCGGTTCCACTGCCGGATGCAGTTCGTCGACTTTTTTCATCGCACGTCGTCGGCCATCGGCTCGTCGTGGCTTTTCTGGTGGAGGCGGTGGTGGCGGCGCCGGCGGCACCTTGCCGTTCTGCACGATGTCAGGCATAACTACGGTTCAGCTACTGTTGCCTGCTTCTTCTTCTTTGGGGGGACTCCTGACGGTCAAAGTGACAGACACGATAGACGAGCTACCATGCCGTGATGATGCAGCGCCTGGAGTGAGACATTCACGTTGTGAGATGATGAAGAGATCGGCCAACCAATTAATAGCTGATACCACACGTTATCAGAGCCAGATTAATCAAAACACAGGGAATAACGGGAAGAAGATTACTCCCACAGACACAGACAGATGCGAGCAGAAGGAGAGTAAGTTGGGGTGGCCGAGGCGAGATAGCGGTTGACTGAGCGCCAGGCCTTCCTCTGTGTCTCTGCAGCTGGTCCATCTCTGCACTCTCCACCGTCTAGCATGTACTCTACGTTTGCGCTCTCGCCAGCCACGACTCTCTGCGCTCTCACTTGGCTAGATCAATGCCGCGTTTTTTACCGGGGCCTCACAATTCCTGAGTAGCTTGGCTTCGAAATCCCTGTATCCCTGTTGTAGTACCTCCTGTGAACACCTGTGGGAGAGTAGGAAGTAGTTCCAGTCAATTTGCTATTTCCCAAGCAGCCTATGTGATTTTGTCATGTTTTTTCGTTGGCAACCGCCGGGCACCTGCGCGATGTTTCCTTAGAAACCCATTTTGTTGGAATCCAATCGTCGTTCATTCGCAAAGGCTGTTCTCTCTCCGTGGGGCGCACATTAGAAACAGAGCGACACTGTAGTAGACTTAAGGAATTGTTTTGCTGCTGTCTCCACGTTCCATGTCTTCGTTCCAGTGGGGATTCATTGCTGCTGTCAACTGCCAGATGTTTCTTTGTCCGCCGGAATGTACGGGTATGCATCTTTATGTTGTTCATTTGTTTTCTTTGGTGTACTGTGTGTAACGACGTCATTTGACGTCACCATCTGAGGCTCCAGCTTGAAAACCACCCTGGACCTCGTGATGCTCACACATTTGTTGCTTTGGACTTATTCAAGTCTTCGTTCTGGTCGCTACAATCCCGAACTATCACATATCCCCATACAACTTCTAGACTGAATCCATGTTCTGACCATAGTTTTTTCTTGGTTGTCAACTTCTTCTAGTGGGTTTGTTTTATGGTAGACTTTTTCGCTTTGTTTTAGTCGATACTGAGTTGGAAGAGACCCGGTAGATTGCCTACCTGGGCATGGTGACCCAGAATGCGCAAAATGGCGTTCGGCTGCTATCGATACCTATGTTTTACATGGGCAGCCGACTTTCTAACAATAAGAGGGAACTACAGAGGATCAGGGATGAACGAAGGGCGAAGGGCGGAAACGCGGAAAACTGTGTGTTCCTCTTGTACCTATGGGGTTCTCAAAGCGCTCGTCCTGCTCGGCCTTCTGATCGGGAGATTTGTGGAACGATAACTTGTCAGGGCGATCTGTCCCTGGTCAGTTTCCATCATTTGTGTCCCATTTGGTTGTGGAACATACAATCACTATTGGTTTTTGTAAGTGATTCACTGCATCACTCACGAATGAGTGCCATTGTACGTTGAATAGGGTGATATGAATATGTCCAATAAAACTTCATGCTGCTATGAAATAAAAAAAAACTGT